GAACAGGCTGGGTATTGGCAGTACTCATGTTCAACCCCTAATTATTTGTTAGGATATTTGCTCTGCATTTCCTTCTTGTAAAAAAAATATCGACAAATATCATGCTCCTTCTTGCTGCATAAAAATGGAACATTTGTGATCATTGTAATAATAATAGCTGAATTTAAAACTGAACCTAGAAATAATAAAAAAATAATTTTCAACCTTTTACTGTATATACATATATTAAGATTGAACTCCAAGGATTTATATCAAAAAAAATATATTACATAGTTGCATAATTACATAGGTGTCCTTTTATCATGCAGTGGTAAATGACCGCTACTCAGTTCTCCGGCATTCTCGGAGAACACAGTTCTCCTCTGAATGCCGTTTTATGAAGCATATGTAGATCAGTTCTCCGAATGAAGGGAGAAGCGATGTACAAATGCTTTCAAACGCTGGAAAATGGCTGCTTTTACTATAATTTTGCGAGATTACAGTAAGAAATCAGTCAAACACTGTTTATTAAGCAGCGGTAAATTTTCTCTGCTTCGTTTGCGGTTCCTTCCTCTAAGCTGGAGAATCTGGAGGGAGAACACAGATCGCCAGTGAAGGGCTGACATCACTCCTTCATATACTGGCCATCTGTGTGCTGAGATGATCAGCGGAGAACATGTTCTCCACTGATCATCTCTGTTTCCTAAGCCACTAATGATCGGAGATCAGCAACGATCCTCAGGATCGCCGCTGATCTCTGTTTCATAAAAGGACACCTTTGTTGGTTAGGTTGAATAAAGTCACCAGTCTATCCAGCTCAGCTTCTGTTGGTGTGGATGTGTATAGGTATCTTTGGTGTATATTTACTAAAGTAAAATAGGCGGTTCACTTACAAGGAAATATTTGCTTAGATTAGTGAATGAGTTGACGCTCTGCTGGCTTCTATCATCTAATTATGTGCAACGTGTATTTTCCTCACATTCACTAAGCCGAAGGAAATTCCCTTTGCAAAGTGAACTGCCCATTTTCCTTTTGTAAATCAACTCCAGTGTCTCTACCATTTCCCTGTATATTGCACTCACTAAGGTGCCCATCAAAACGTTTTTCAAATTACTGACACTCCCAGCTGATACCACCAATTGTGGAAAGCAGTTCCACATACAAACCTCTTCTAAAGAACCCCCTATACAATTTAAGGTTACGCTGCTTCTGATCCAACTTCATTGAGTTTTCACATGTATTATTAAGCAACTTGAGACCGAATAGTTTTCTCCCTATATTACAATCATTATTCAGATATTTGTATATTGTGATCATATCTCCTTTTAAGCATCTCTTCTCCAAGGGGAATACGTTTAATGTTTGTAGTCATTCCTCATGACTGAGTTCTTCCAACCCCCTTCTCTGGACTTTGTTCACTTCCAGCACATCCTTCCTAACGACTGATGACCATAACTGGATGGCATGCTCAAGCTGTGGCCACACCAGAGTTTTGTAAAGTGGTAGAATTAAAGTCTTATACCCTTTTTAATGCATTCTAATAGTCTGCTAGCCTTGCTTGCTGCAGCTTGGCATTGCATACTATTGCTGGACCTATGATCTACTAGGACCCCTAGATCCTTTTTTCATTCTTTACTCCCACAGGGTTTTTCCCTCTTGCGAGTAACTTGCATCTATATTTCTAGCCCCAAGTGCATTGCTTTTAATTTTTTAATATTAAAAACTCATTTGCCATGTAGTTGCCTACCCCTTTATGTTAACAAGTTCTTTGTGTAAAGTTGTTGTAGCTTGTTGTGAGGTTATTACAATGCTTAGCTTTGTATTATCAGCTAACACTGAGATTGATTTGCTGATACCAACCTCTTTATCACTTATGAACAATTATGAACCTCTTTATCACTTATGAACAACAGAATTGGTCCCAGGACAGAGCCATGGGGCACCCCGCTCACAACACCAGACCATTCAGAGGATACACTATTCATCACCGTCACTTGGATGCATGTCTATAATCAGTTATCTATCCAGGTACATATACTATCATCAATTCCAGCATACCGCAGGTGGATACACCACATCCACAGACCTTCCTCTATCAAGATTACAGCTCCTTCCTCATAGAATGTTAATAGGTTAGTTTGGCTAGAACAATACTTCATAAATCTGTGCAGGTTTCTACTAATGATACAATTTTAATAAACAAATTATTGGATATAGTTCCTTATCATTCCCTCCAATAATTTTACATACTATTGTTGTTAGACTGACTGGCCTGTAGTTTCCAAGTATGCATCTCAGCCCTTTTCTGAATATTGATACCACATTAGCTTTTTGCCAATCAGTTGGTACCATTCTAGTCAGTATGCTGTCCTTAAATATTAGGGATAACATCAACAGATCTATTTAATTTATTATGATCAAGCCGTATATGTTACTTAATAATTTTAATACTATGTACTATGTAAACTACTTATATGTGATATCTTTTATTAATAATTCATTATATATATATATATCTATTTAAGCTATCTGTGGTGCAATACCTCCTTGCAATAGACACATAACTATTGAGATCAAATTCAGGCTGGACAGCCTCATATCATTATCAAGTTTTCCTTTTATCCTGCCTGTTTATAGTCCATTATCTCCCTGGTAATTCATAGTTGCTGATAATATTCCAATCTGCCAATTATTAGCATAATGTTTTATTTATAGTTTGCTATCTCCCTGGTGATTCAGTAGAGGTGTTAGGACTGCATTCTATTGAGCACTGGCATAATGGCCGCCAGCGGCACCTAACGTGCATGCGCAGTGGCCATTAGGTCTCCAGTTACTACACTACAAGAAAATGGCAGCGGCGCATTCACAATGCGCATGCGCGGGTGTAGCAGGCATGTACGGCGCATGCGCGCCAATATATATGAAATCGATCAAGTTCCTTTCATGCACCCCCTTTGAAAACGTGTATATCACACGAAACGCGTCAGTGAGGTGCCCCCCAGATATCTCTACATACCGCATGGCCATTGCTGGACGGCCGGCGGTAATCTAACTTAATCTGTAAGTGTGTTTTTGTGTTTTTTTTTTGTTTTCTTCATCAATAAACCATACTACACTATCAAAGCTTCTGGCCTGGGGCTCTTTTTATTATGGGAGCCAGGGCTTTTTGAAGGTGCTCATCGATTCCTGCCCATTTACTGTCTGATGATTTGGATGATCCCTTTGGTGGCTGATGTTGATATCTACGGAACCTTGTCCATTTGGTCTGGGATACATGACATCTAGTGGTGAGATTTAAGATGACGACCACCCTTCCAGTGTCCTGTATACAGAGCACCAGGAGTAGGTCTTAATTACTCCATGCATTATCTCCTTATACATCTGGTTAGTGCAATCTACACTCAGTATAATTACCACAAGAGTCACGAACATTCTGCTTTATCGTCTGTTGATACATCACAGAAGTCACGTTTATCCTGCATGATCTTCACGCTGTGTTAACCTTAACCTTATGCATCAGATTTGAGTCGAATTGAGTCTAAGATTACTGAATTTTGACCATAATCTTATGTATCATATTTGAGTTTAATTTTTTGGCAATTAGCTCTGCATATTAATATTGTCTGTTTATCACTTGAAGTTCTAGAGGTTTACTTCCTATGCCAGCTGCTAGCCTTTTCTTCCTTTTTTTGTTCTTTAATAGACACCTAGCGCTTGTTTTTATCTGCTTTCATATTAGGGATAACAGTCTAGCAATAACCTGACTAAGTTATTTGAGGATTCTCAGGAGTAAGTAATTTCATCCTGGTTATTTATTCACATTAAATTTTTCATTTTTTTTAAATAATGGATTCTGTTAGTCACAAGGGCACATTCCATGCTAAGTTACTAACAATGCAGTCTTGCTTATTATATCAGTCCTTTCCCTAGTAAAATCCAAGGATAATTATGTATTTAAGACAGTTGTCTTCTCCCTGTCACTTATAATCAACTTCCCCTGAGTATCATTTATGGGATCAGTATTCTCTGACTTTGCCTATTTGCTATTAATATATTGAAAACATTATTTGGGGATTTTTCTTACTCTGCTCCACTATATCTCTCTTTGTGGTCTATTTTTGCTTATGCATCATGCTTTTGCATTTCTTATTGCAGTCTTTGTAGTTTTGGAATGCTGCTGGTGACCGTTCAACCTTATATTTTTTTAAAGGATAGTTCTTTTTTCTTTTTAATTAGCCATTTAAGCTTTTAACCAGAAAGATTAATTTTTAACATTATTATCACAAATAATACTTTTTGTGTTCCAGAATTCAAAGTAAGTATAATACAAACTACATTTTAAAACATGAATCATAATTACAAAAACTGTTGTTTTAAATACTAAATTACATATCTTAAGAACAGGAAAAAACATGCCACAAACAACTGACAGTACCAAAATCTTAGCACAGTCAGGTTTAAATATTTTCCTATATGCATGCAACAGTCCACCTACATTCCTACTTAGATTTTATTCCTTATTAGCTTGAGGCACAAACATGCATAGTATTTACTTGATGTCCCACAGTGCACAATGAACTACTGATACTATACGATTAGATCACTAAGTCACTATGCCTTGGGAGCAAATATTAGAAATTACTGAAAGTTAAACAGCAGGGGATCTCTAGTGAATGTGATATACAAAAATAAGGACAATGTAATCTCTAAAAGAAAAATTATCATAGGAATCATTCTTTTCTCTACAAATTTGATCTAGTTTCATATTAATATTCAGTTGTTATTGAGATATCCTAATCAAATCTAGTAAAATGTACTATTTAAAAATATTCTAATATATTATTGTGTTAAACAAAGGCTCTTTGACGAATGTACTGGACACTAAGAAGAAAAACTCAAATACTCACAAATACAAGTTATTGTGTTTAGATATTTAAAGCATATGTAAAGCCCTATATTTATGTATTCATTCATTTATTTATTTATTTTAGTTTTTGGTAGAATAGAGAATGGCTAAACATATGTCAGTTGGGTAAATTTCCTTCCTGTTCCAGAGACACACATACATTTCTAAAACATGTGACATGTGCAAGGATCCTTAATGGAATATTTACTCTCATCTTTTGTTCTGGTGACAACCTTAATGTTTTGCATTTCTGGTCACGACCTGTTTCTCCTGCTGGTGGCACTGTGCTTCCCTGGGTGCTTCCCTGGGTGGAAATCTGCAGTTTTAGTGTCCACCAGCAGGTGTTTCTCAGCAGTCAGTAGGTGTTTCCAAGCAATCAGCTATGCCTTGACACACCTGCTGGGAGGGTACTTAAATTTCACTTTGGCTATGGCTCCTTGCATCAGTGTTTTGGCCGCTCCTGTATTGTAACCTTGCTGTGCTGCTTACAAGACTATGTTGCCAAATAGCTCTTGATTTTGCCCTGTATCCAGTTCCCTCTTACCTTGGTACCTTGTTCTTTTTCAGTTTTTTCCCCATTCCCATCTGGTTCCCCAGAATCCCCCTGCCTTGCATGTTTATATATTTATTAGTAGCTTAGGTTTCTGCATTTTGGCTGTTCAGTTTGACTTTCAAGCATTTTCATGTTTGCTGCTGTTGGTGTGTTCACTGTATGAACACACCGGCACCCCCCACACGGCACTGAGGAAAAGCACTACATTTTACACACACACGTTAGATTAGCACATATAACTCTTTGATTGCCACTATTAACCCTTTGATCACCCAGCCATCCAACCAGTGCCATTAGTACAGTGTCAGTATACAGAATTATTCACTGATCACTGTATTACAGCCACTAGTGACATCAGCGTCAGGGTCAGTTAGCACCCCTTCCAGCCAGGATCAGCTAGCGTTAGATTGCCTGCACACTATCACACTCACGCTATAGGTCGCTGATTACCGCCGTCACTAGTATAGTGTGTGTATGGAAAAATATAATGATCATGGACAGAACTATACTTGTGCCTCCTTTGTATAGTGTCCCCAGAAACGCAGTGTTGGCATGGTCAGACCCATTAGTGGACAGCACTAACATTTAGCCCCTCAGCTGTTTTTTGTAGAAGATTTGTACCAATTGTTTGTGGGCCAAAGAAATTTATATGCACAACAATACATCGCCACCCACCCAAATTCAGCTCTTGCCAGACAATTCGCATGGAAACCTATTACGGTTTCTGAATTTAAAACATTTTTGGGCCAGACCCTCAACATGGGCATTACACAAAAGAATGAATTGCAATCATAATGTTCCACAGACCCGATTTATCATATGCCAGTGTTATCTGCTGTTACATATATACCCAACATGGACCAGCAATGTACCTGGTACATCACTGGACTTTGAGTGGTTATACCAGGTTGATGCCTGCAGCTACAGGCATCATCCTGATATCATTTTTTTTTAAGCCGGCAGTCTGCTTTCATGTAAAAGAAACCCTAGTGGATAATTAGGTGCTGGATCATTTTTACAAGTAGCAAGAAGGGACATCCCCAGCACTCCTGCCACCTTCCACATTTTTGTTGGGCTCTCCTGTCCCACAGGAGTATCTGAGAATGCAGCCAGCAGTTCTGCTGGCTGACCATGGAGCTGATCAGAGACCAGAATGGCTTCAGTCATTTCTATGGTCTAAGAGACCAGAAGCTACAAGCATTTCATAATTTCCTTTTGACTTTAACAGTGCCATTTTTAAATTGGAAAAGCATCTGATCACGCTGATCTTGGTGTGATCAGATGCTTTAAGGGCAGAGGAGATGTCTAGAGTCTAATAAACCCCAGATTTCTCAGAAAAGAGTACCTGTCACTGCCTATTGCTATTACAGGGGATATTTACATTCCCTGTGATAACAATAAAAGTGATAAAAAAAAAGAAAGGGACAGTGTAAAACAAAATTTAAAAAAAATCACCTCTGCCCCTCCCCCTTTCCCGTGCTTGTGCACAAAGGTGAATGCAAGCGTTGGTCCCATGTCCGCATTTAAACAGAGATTGCATGATGTATGAGCAGTATAACCATGTACATCAGACTGAGGGCAGTAATTCTAGCACGTCCTGTGTAAAAATATATATGTACTTTGTTGCCATTGCAGGGACATGTGCGATTTTAAAGCATGTCAAGTATCCATTAACTCAACGTAAAGTCATATTTTATATTTTATCAAACAATTGGCAATATATTGTGTTTTTGTGCATTAAAATTCTAAAAAGTGTATTTTTCCCAATATGTGGCATAAGCTTCTAATGTTGGCCCTGAAATGAGTAGTAGAAGCCCCCCATTCAAATGACCCCTTTTTGGAAAGTAGACACTCCAAGGTACTTTTGATGAGGCATGGTGAGTGACAATTTTATGTGAAAAAATAAATTGTCATTTTCAAACAATTTGTAGCAAAAAATAAACTGTTCCATGAACTCAACATGCCTCTCTGCAAAATTCTTTGGGTGTCTACTTTCCAAAAAGAGGTCATTTGGGGGAGTTTGCACTGCCCTGACATTTTAGCACCTCAAGAAATGTGATAGGTAGTCAGAAAGTAAAAGCTGTGTAAATTCCAATATCTATACTATAGTTTGTAAATGCTATAACTTTCACACAAACCAATTAAGATACATGTATTGGGATTTTTTTTTACCAAAGACATACTCCTTCTGAATATAGGGCTACAATATGTGTCACACTTTTGAAATGTTTGTCATGATTATACACCTGACATTGTATTCTGTGTATCACAAAACTCAAACAACATTGAATCAAATACTGTGTAATGTACTGCTTATCTCTGTATGTGTGGCCAAGGAATATACCTGACTTACTATAGATCCACCTATAACAGCCCCCATTCCCGTAAGGCAAACAAGCTACTGACACTTGATTTCTCTCAGGACAATGCTTTGAGCAAAGGGTTAACAAAGAGTATCTGTGTTAACAGGAGTATAGTTGGCTGGGACTGGTGTCTCAGAAAGAACATGGTCAGTAGAATATTCAAATGAGTAGGTCCAGGCATTAGGCAAAGCCATGGTTAGCCAACAGGCAAATGATAACTTCAGGTGGCAGGCAGAGATGTGGTCAGCAAATACAGTAGGTAAATGATCAATCCAGGTGGCAGGCAGAAACATTGTCAATAAACAGGCAAGTGTCAATTCCGATAACAGGTGGATATGTGGTTAGTATACAGGCAAAGGTTTGGTCCAGGAGGAAGAGATGTGGTCAGTAAAAAGGCATAGGATCGGGCCAGGTGGCACTCAGAAATGTGGTCAGCAAACAGTTAAAGGATCATTTCAGGTGCCAGGCAGATGCATGGTTAGTAAATAGGCAAAAAATTGGTTCAGTTTTTAGGCAGAGATGTGGTCAATAAACAGGTAAGTGTCAGTTCTAGCAGCAAACAGAGATGTAGGCAGTATGCAGCTAATGGTCAATCCAGGGAGCAGGCAGAAACATGGTCTCTCTCTCTTCCCTCTCTCCTCTCTCTCTCCTCTCTCTCTCCCCTCTCTCCTTCTCCCCCTCTCTATTCCCTCTCTCACCCCCTCTCTCTCTCTTCTCCCTCTCTCTCTCTCTCTCTCCCCCCTCTCTTTCTCAGATTGTATGGGACTGCACACACACACACCTCCTCCAAGGGCTGCTGATCTCCGAGCATTAAAGCAAGGAAATAGACTTAGTAAATATGAGCTTAGAGAGTAGCATATTATAGAAAAGAGTAATGGGACCAATTTCCCATTTGTGATTATAAGAGTAATCAAAAGAGTGTTAAGTTTAGGGATGGAATTTAGGGATGAGAAATTTGAAAACTTCCAGCGGCATTTTCTTATGTTTATTCAAACTATTTCTATAATAGTCCAAGACATTGAGAACTGGTGAAATAATGGGGTGGCTGATAAGAAATGTGGCATAAAGTATCTGGTATGCAAGTAACAGTAAGTATAAACCACCCATGGGCAGAAATGATTGTTCTAAATTGTACCAGAGTTTAGAAGAATCAGGGATTATCCAAAACTTGACCTGATCCAAAAGAGTAGCCATATAATAATCATGAAGATCAAGTAGACCCTTGCCACCCACAGTCTTATGATTCACAGGAGTGGCATGAGAACACCTGACCATCTTACCCATCCAAAGGAATAGCAATAGCATGAATTTCAAAATTTGAAAAAGTTATGTGAAAAGAGGAATAGGAATCAATCTAAAATAATGTAGTATATTGGAAGGATTAACATCTTAAAGGCTGACCATGATGAGTAAAACCTCTTCATTCTATCCAATTCACATTGTAGTTTTGTCATTAGTGAAGCATATTTGACCTTATATAAGTTGAATACAGGAGAAGAAAGCATTATCCCCAAATATGGTATATATTCCTGGCTGATCCCTATATTTTGCAAATATTTAAATTCACTAAATAAAGTGGCAACCATTCAGTAAGAATTCCTGCTAGTCTATACTACTGTTATAGAAAAAGAAGGTAAAGCTTCCACTTCATCCACAAGTTGTAGACTATATCAATACTGAATACAGATACTACGTTATATACAAAAATACTAGTGGATAGGTAAAACCTTTAATGTTGCAGTGAATACATATGCTTGTAACAAGGTGAGAGGGAAAGGACAACTGCTTTAGAACACCCATGGTGTTAAAGAGGGAGATCCCCAGTTCCGCTTATGTCAATAGATGCTGAAAGAGCTTTTGACAGGGAAGACTGGGGATTTATGTTTGCAGCCTTGATCTAACTCTGCATGGGTCTCAATATGATGCAGAAAATAGCAGCTTTACACTATCATGTACAGCTAAAGTATGGGTTAATGGCAATCTGTCCAATCTCTTTGAATTATGTCATGGGACAAGGCATAGGTGCCCTTTATCACATCTGCTGGCTTCAATCCAGTAAAACATTAACAGGAAAGGAATTAGGATTGTAAAGAGGGAGTACAATGTCAAGGTATATGCTGATGATCATTAGTCGGTCTGATTATGGTGGAGATGAGTTTTAAATTGTTAGAGAGATTGTAGGAAACTCCTGTAAGAGCACATACGTTTCAGTCAGAAGCTCCACCTTTATGCTGGAGAGGTTGTAACTCTTCAGGAACTTTTTCACACATATTGTGGGATTGTCCTAAAATACATGCATTTTGGGAAGTAATTACTAATATTATCCAACACATAATATGCACAAGTATACCCAT